TTTATGCATTTTTGGCTGAATTATGATATTTGGAAAACACTGATTATTTTAAAAAAATTCCTGTTTTTATACCTTTTTGTAGAGTATTAGTATTATTCAGAACCTTATAACACAATGAAGAAATCATTTCCGACCCTATGAATCATATATATTCTTGATCAGAATGAACAGCTGAATCGATCTAGCCATGTCTTGTGGGAAAATAAATTGTTGGATATTTTTCCAAAATTTCAAAAAACGATAAGGGGTTACATCATTAAAATTGTCAAAATTTGGCCAAAAATTGAATTTTTTAAATTCAAAAACTGAGTATGCAGATTTGTTAGCGCTATAAAAATTAGCACAGAACCGCTTTCCGAATTGAAATTAATGCATTTTTGGCTTAATTATGATGTTTGAAAAACATTGATTATTTAATAAAATTGCCTGTTTTTATACCATTTTGCAGGTTATTCAATTTTAGTCAGAATCTTTTAACAGCATCAGCAAACGCTGTACGCAGATTTGTTAGCGATTTAAAAACTAGCACAGAACAGCTTTCCGAATTGAAATTTATGCATTTTTGGCTGAATTATGATATTTGGAAAACACTGATTATTTTAAAAAATTGCCTGTTTTTATACCTTTTTGTAGAGTATTAGTATTAATCAGAAGCTTATAACACAATGAAGAAATCATTTCCGACCCTATAAATCATATATATTCTTGATCAGAATGAACAGCTGAATCGATCTAGCCATGTCTTGTGGGAAAATAAATTGTTGGATATTTTTCCAAAATTTCAAAAAACGATAAGGGGTTACATCATTAAAATTGTCAAAATTTGGCCAAAAATTGAATTTTTTAAATTCAAAAACTGAGTATGCAGATTTGTTAGCGCTATAAAAATTAGCACAGAACCGCTTTCCGAATTGAAATTAATGCATTTTTGGCTTAATTATGATGTTTGAAAAACATTGATTATTTAATAAAATTGCCTGTTTTTATACCATTTTGCAGGTTATTCAATTTTTAGTCAGAATCTTTTAACAGCATCAGCAAACGCTGTACGCAGATTGTTAGCGATTTAAAAACTAGCACAGAACAGCTTTCCGAATTGAAATTTATGCATTTTTGGCTGAATTAGATATTTGGAAAACACTGATTATTTTAAAAAAATGCCTGTTTTTATACCTTTTTGTAGAGTATTAGTATTATTCAGAACCTTATAACACAATGAAGAAATCATTTCCGACCCTATAATCATATATATTCTTGATCAGAATGAACAGCTGAATCGATCTAGCCATGTCTTGTGGGAAAATAAATTGTTGGATATTTTTCCAAAATTTCAAAAAACGATAAGGGGTTACATCATTAAAATTGTCAAAATTTGGCCAAAAATTGAATTTTTTAAATTCAAAAACTGAGTATGCAGATTTGTTAGCGCTATAAAAATTAGCACAGAACCGCTTTCCGAATTGAAATTAATGCATTTTTGGCTTAATTATGATGTTTGAAAAACATTGATTATTTATAAAATTGCCTGTTTTTATACCATTTTGCAGGTTATTCAATTTTTAGTCAGAATCTTTTAACAGCATCAGCAAACGCTGTACGCAGATTTGTTAGCGATTTAAAAACTAGCACAGAACAGCTTTCCGAATTGAAATTTATGCATTTTTGGCTGAATTATGATATTTGGAAAACACTGATTATTTTAAAAAATGCCTGTTTTTATACCTTTTTGTAGAGTATTAGTATTAATCAGAAGCTTATAACACAATGAAGAAATCATTTCCGACCCTATAAATCATATATATTCTTGATCAGAATGAACAGCTGAATCGATCTAGCCATGTCTTGTGGGAAAATAAATTGTTGGATATTTTTCCAAAATTTCAAAAAACGATAAGGGGTTACATCATTAAAATTGTCAAAATTTGGCCAAAAATTGAATTTTTTAAATTCAAAAACTGAGTATGCAGATTTGTTAGCGCTATAAAAATTAGCACAGAACCGCTTTCCGAATTGAAATTAATGCATTTTTGGCTTAATTATGATGTTTGAAAAACATTGATTATTTAATAAAATTGCCTGTTTTTATACCATTTTGCAGGTTATTCAATTTTTAGTCAGAATCTTTTAACAGCATCAGCAAACGCTGTACGCAGATTGTTAGCGATTTAAAAACTAGCACAGAACAGCTTTCCGAATTGAAATTTATGCATTTTTGGCTGAATTATGATATTTGGAAAACACTGATTATTTTAAAAAATTCCTGTTTTTATACCTTTTTGTAGAGTATTAGTATTAATCAGAAGCTTATAACACAATGAAGAAATCATTTCCGACCCTATAAATCATATATATTCTTGATCAGAATGAACAGCTGAATCGATCTAGCCATGTCTTGTGGGAAAATAAATTGTTGGATATTTTTCCAAAATTTCAAAAAACGATAAGGGTTACATCATTAAAATTGTCAAAATTTGGCCAAAAATTGAATTTTTTAAATTCAAAAACTGAGTATGCAGATTTGTTAGCGCTATAAAAATTAGCACAGAACCGCTTTCCGAATTGAAATTAATGCATTTTTGGCTTAATTATGATGTTTGAAAAACATTGATTATTTATAAAATTGCCTGTTTTTATACCATTTTGCAGGTTATTCAATTTTTAGTCAGAATCTTTTAACAGCATCAGCAAACGCTGTACGCAGATTTGTTAGCGATTTAAAAACTAGCACAGAACAGCTTTCCGAATTGAAATTTATGCATTTTTGGCTGAATTATGATATTTGGAAAACACTGATTATTTTAAAAAAATTCCTGTTTTTATACCTTTTTGTAGAGTATTAGTATTATTCAGAACCTTATAACACAATGAAGAAATCATTTCCGACCCTATGAATCATATATATTCTTGATCAGAATGAAAGCTGAATCGATCTAGCCATGTCTTGTGGGAAAATAAATTGTTGGATATTTTTCCAAAATTTCAAAAAACGATAAGGGGTTACATCATTAAAATTGTCAAAATTTGGCCAAAAATTGAATTTTTTAAATTCAAAAACTGAGTATGCAGATTTGTTAGCGCTATAAAAATTAGCACAGAACCGCTTTCCGAATTGAAATAATGCATTTTTGGCTTAATTATGATGTTTGAAAAACATTGATTATTTAATAAAATTGCCTGTTTTTATACCATTTTGCAGGTTATTCAATTTTTAGTCAGAATCTTTAACAGCATCAGCAAACGCTGTACGCAGATTTGTTAGCGATTTAAAAACTAGCACAGAACAGCTTTCCGAATTGAAATTTATGCATTTTGGCTGAATTATGATATTTGGAAAACACTGATTATTTTAAAAAATTGCCTGTTTTTATACCTTTTTGTAGAGTATTAGTATTAATCAGAAGCTTATAACACAATGAAGAAATCATTTCCGACCCTATAAATCATATATATTCTTGATCAGAATGAACAGCTGAATCGATCTAGCCATGTCTTGTGGGAAAATAAATTGTTGGATATTTTTCCAAAATTTCAAAAAACGATAAGGGGTTACATCATTAAAATTGTCAAAATTTGGCCAAAATTGAATTTTTTAAATTCAAAAACTGAGTATGCAGATTTGTTAGCGCTATAAAATTAGCACAGAACCGCTTTCCGAATTGAAATTAATGCATTTTTGGCTTAATTATGATGTTTGAAAAACATTGATTATTTAATAAAATTGCCTGTTTTTATACCATTTTGAGGTTATTCAATTTTTAGTCAGAATCTTTTAACAGCATCAGCAAACGCTGTACGCAGATTTGTTAGCGATTTAAAAACTAGCACAGAACAGCTTTCCGAATTGAAATTTATGCATTTTTGGCTGAATTATGATATTTGGAAAACACTGATTATTTTAAAAAATTGCCTGTTTTTATACCTTTTTGTAGAGTATTAGTATTAATCAGAAGCTTATAACACAATGAAGAAATCATTTCCGACCCTATAAATCATATATATTCTTGATCAGAATGAACAGCTGAATCGATCTAGCCATGTCTTGTGGGAAAATAAATTGTTGGATATTTTTCCAAAATTTCAAAAAACGATAAGGGGTTACATCATTAAAATTGTCAAAATTTGGCCAAAAATTGAATTTTTTAAATTCAAAAACTGAGTATGCAGATTTGTTAGCGCTATAAAAATTAGCACAGAACCGCTTTCCGAATTGAAATGAATGCATTTTTGGCTTAATTATGATGTTTGAAAACATTGATTATTTAATAAAATTGCCTGTTTTTATACCATTTTGCAGGTTATTCAATTTTTAGTCAGAATCTTTTAACAGCATCAGCAAACGCTGTACGCAGATTTGTTAGCGATTTAAAAACTAGCACAGAACAGCTTTCCGAATTGAAATTTATGCATTTTTGGCTGAATTATGATATTTGGAAAACACTGATTATTTTAAAAAATTGCCTGTTTTTATACCTTTTTGTAGAGTATAAGTATTAATCAGTATTTTTCTGTTGATTCTAATCAGGAATATATATGATATATAGGGTCGGAAATGATTCCTTAACTGTTTTATATGCTTCTGATTAAAATTATAATACCATGAAATGGTTTAAGACATTTTCTAGTATATTCCCTGAAACCGTATGCTAAAAACCCCTACGTTTGTTTCTCTACAGAAAAAAAATTTTTTTAAAACCCCTGTTAAAAAATGCCACCCCTTTAGGCACACCCCGAGTGTGTATTTATATAGTGAGCTTAAACTTTGTTTAGCTGCTGGCCAAAGCGCGGCAACAAAGATAAGCTCAGAGGTTGCCCCCGGGAGCAACGCAGGAAGTGCACGAAGCTATCTTTTACTCCAGGAAAAACTCCCTCGTCTCCTCTTTCCTCCTCTCTCTCTCTCTCTCTCTCCCCCCTTATTTATTTAAAATTGCAATTTATTTTGCCAGAAAACCGACTTAGTTGCATTTACTTAGCCAAAAGTTTCCTCTTATTTCTCACAGATGTCCTGCTGGGCAGCACCGAGTACTCGACCTCGCTGGACATGTGGGGCGTGGGCTGCATCTTTGTGGAAATGGTTACCGGGATGCCAACGTTCCCGGGCATACGTGATACCTACGATCAGCTGGATAAGATATTTAAATTGCTGGGCACGCCCACCGAGGACACGTGGCCGGGTGTGACCCACTTTCCTGGCTACAAGCCGCACAAGTTGGGTGAGTAATTGGCTTTCGGTCTACGGGTTAAGTTAATTATACCCTAGAAAAAAAAGTGGGGGGGGGGTTATTATAATTTGGCATAGATTTTTTCAAATTGCCATAAATATATATAATTTTAATCAAGTTCTTTGTGACATGGTAACATATTAACTCTTGTATGCCAATTTGTTTCCTTAGTTTTAATTTTTACAGAAATCTTCTTAAAGTTTTTCAAGTAGCTTTCTATATTTTGCTGAACATATGTCTATAAATGAAAAAAGGAACAAATCGAAGGACTATGTCTTATACTTTCCTATAAAAAGGTTTCTAAAGTCCTATTTGTTTAGATTTATACAGGAAACTAGTCTTATTAATATTTAATAATTATCTAGTAAATCAAATTAGATTAAAATCATATTACTCAACCCTCCAGGGTATCCCTTACTTCGTTTACCCCAATATAAACCCCGTTTTAACACATTCTGTAAACATCTTCTCCCCCATCATCATCTTCATGATGATTTCGGCAGGTTTCTATCGACCGAGGAAACTGGGTCACAACTTCCCACGGCTGTACGACATCATCGAGGGCGAGACGATAGCGAACGCCTTCCTGCAGCTAAATCCGGAGCAGCGTTTGGGCGCCGATGATGCACTGCAGCATCCGTACTTTGCGCAATTGCCAAAGAAACTCTACGAATTGCCAGACGGTGAGTGAATTAATGCATTAAACATTTACATGGCCAAAAGTGCGGGCCAACTTTTGGTGCATTGTCTTTTTGTGGCCGGCAAGAAAACCAATTAACAAACAGGAAAAAAGCAAAACCCATGAAGAAGGATGAAATGAAATGTTTGCTCAAAGTTGGCAGATTGAATGGTAGAATAAGGTAGAAAGGTGGGACACAACTCATTTAAGTTTCGCGACAATTTGTTTGCTTTCCGGAACAGTTTTTCTTCCTGGTCCGTCTGCTTAGCGCTGATATATATATTATATATATATATATATATAGTTAACAGTAATTGCATTTGCCAGTTTTAATTTGTATTTCAAGTGGTGGCAGCAGCAAAGTTTCGCAACAAGTTGAGTTGAGAAAAACAAATACAGCATAGAGTCGTCGAATGAATGCAAAGGACAAACTTGTTGGACAAATAAGGAGTAGAGTAAAGTAAAGCTCTACCAGAAAATCAAGTAATTAGATTGCGATAAGTGAGCAATGCGAATGTAAGGGCTGTCTGGGATTAAGTTTTGAATTATTCGAGTAGAAATTACAAGAAAATAAAGGGTTCTTCCTTTAGGCCTTGAGCAATTCCATTACCAAATCCATAGATTTTTTCGAGTAAATAAAATGCAGATTCCCTACATTCGGTAAATGAAAACATTTTCCCAGAAAAACCAGAAATTTAAGAGGCCAGAATAACATTTTCTCAGCTGCAATTTGGCAAATGCAATGCAAGAGGGGAGGAAAATCAACTGCAATAGAGGAAAATTTACAAACACAAATCCTCTGGCATACATATACTATGGAATGGTATATAGGGTGCAATGGGAAAACCCAGAAAAATAAATAAATGAAGTGCAAATGCCCCTCGCAGGACTTGCACTTAATCGAGGGGCAGCTTAAACTCTGTGCTTAAAACGCGATTAACGCGTGATTTGTTTACACAAACCAAAACTCTATTTTTTTGTTCTACACTCCAAATCCAGAGTATGCTAATTTCTGGCTAAATCACAGCAACTAGGGAGACACAGAAACAAAAAACAAAATCTAGCTTCACATTGCTCATTACGTAAAGGGGGAGAGACGAGTGGTTAAAGTGGTATTTACCCATGAAACATTACGTATACGCAGCGTGGACAGATAGAATCAATTAAAACGCAACTAATGCGCTTCATTTATCATGGCCAGGGAAAAGGTCATCAGACCCAAGTGAGGTTTTTGCGGTTACAGAGGGCAACATTCATACTGTGTACTACAGTGAAGATTCGGTATAAAGGATAGATGGGGAGTTTATTGTGGAATTTAAGTAAAATTAATAGGAATTTAAGCTGTATGAATGCTTAAAAGTTATGTATAATAGAAAGAGCTACTAATATCTATAAAGTTTTTAATACTTTTAAAAAAGTATCCACAAATTTGATATGAAACATAATATAATTATATTTTAGCAACCTTTACAATACCATTTTTAATATATTATAAGAACCCTAACAAATTATAACCCCAAACAACTTCAAAATATGGTTTTAAGGCAGCTATTTCCTACAGTTTCTTTAACAGAAATCGAAAGCCAAAGAGATTTCCCTCATTAGGGGTTCCCCTGTCTCTATTTGAGTGAGTTTTGTGGGTGGTTTTTGGGTGGTATTTTTGCGCAGAGTGTATCATGTGTGTGGCTGTGGGTGTGGCTGGGAAAATGTAATTTGGCCAAAGGCAATTTTAATTGTCGCATGGCCGTCGATGGCCGTAAATTAAATTATGTCATGGTCAGGAGGCGCCCTACACACATGTACTCATAATTTCAACTTTTTAATAACAATTTTTACCATTTTTTTGTTAATAATTGCACACTCTCTATATATATTTACAGAGACCTCAATATTTACGGTGGAAGGCGTGCAGCTTTATACGGAGCCAAATCGACAGAATAAATGAAAATTAAAGCAAGTCCTCTCTGTGGATGGCGTACGTTTCTACTGTTAGGATATTCCCAGTCCTCAATATCCACCCATCACCGATCGATCCTGTCCTATCGAACTGTCAATCAACCTAATATCGCATCATCGACAGCCATATACTATATATATATATATTATACATATGTATGAGAGATACGAGAAAGAGCAACTTCTCCTTCGGCGCGCAGAAGTTTTTGTACTATAATTCTATGATAACTTTTTAGTTACTATTCGTTAGTTATATTATTCGATTTAAAAAAAAAAAACAAAACAACAGAGGAGTGTGTGTGGAGTGAGGCGGCATTTTTTAATTTCAGTCAAAAGATAGCTTAGATTTCGCCATCATCCTGCAGCCGAAAAAGGATACTCAGTTTAGTCAGTGTTTTTTTCTGTATTTTCATTTGTAAGCTTAACGAAATTTATATCTAGATCTTAATCTGTATTTCGTTTCCATTCTCTTTACTGTATTATTTGATTTTTATTTGTAATTATTTTTAATTGAGTGCAATTAGTGAAGAATTAATGGCTTGGCCTTTGTCTAAAACATAAAAAACAGCAATCAATTAATCAAAAATTTATTATTATTTCCAAGCAATTTACTAATTTTATAGAAAACTAAAGACGCACCGCCAATATTTGTTTAGCTTTAATTTCCACTCACACAGCTCTTAAAAAATTTTATGTTTATTAATGTATGATTTTTCGTAATGCTTCCTTTACTTTGTCTTTATTAATTTCGATGCGCTGTTTAAGTGATAATTTTTGTAACTATTAAATGAATTTATGTAAAAGCAAAGTAAAACAATCTAAAGAGAGATATATATAATATAAAACAAATAATAAATTTAAATCATTTATACCATTTAAGTTGGCTTCATTTTGTTTTATTTTAATATTATGATTTAAAGTTATTTCCACAGATGAGATAATGATTGATGGAGTCCTAGAAACATTTAGTCAAAGACCGGACATGGGATCAGATCACAACATTTTCGATGCAAAACTTAAGCGAATAGATAAACAATTAAAACTAGCAAAGAACGCAAATAGTAGAATCAAATTTTTAGAAATCAACCGAGAATAAATTCGTGAATTAAAATAGCCATCAAACTAAACACTAAAGTAACCTCTAACCAAAGTATTTTACATAGAGTTCGTAGCGAAAGAGAATGAAATCCAAGTCGAAGCCCAAAAAATCCATTTACCATAAATCTAAGAAACGTAATGGCCAAAAACCAACCGAGAGACAGAGAGGACTTGAGAATCACTCAAGAAGTTCAAAGAAGAGAGCTAACAAATGTGCAAATTATGAATCAAAGACACTTTCACATGGTTTTGAAACAAGAAAATATGAATCAAAATGACGATTTGAGTATAGAGCAAAGCGTAGAACTAAATATATATGAAAATGAATATCAAATATATGAAATCTATGAGCCAATTTGAGTTGTAGGCAATCAAATTGCTAAGATTCTACGATCAGCGATCCTGGCCTGCAGTTCCTTAGGGTTTATCATTAAGGACCTTTAGAAAACAACTTGAACCCACGGCCAGTGATTATATTTTGTAGCAAAAGAAAAAAAGAAAAATACAAACAACAACGTAAGAGTAAAATTTAAACTAAAGCGAAAAACAAAACCAAATGAAAACAAAAGAAATATTTCAAATGAATAAACTTTTTCTGTGATTTATGAAAAAAGTATGCAAAACACACACACACACACACACTGCAGCAAAATAAACACACACACACTGGCAGACACACTTGCGAAAAGAGAATAAACAATTAAACTAAATGAAAACTAGGCACTTTAGACAACAACAAAGAATATAAAGTAGAGGCAAAATTGTTTAGAATTATTTGCTAGCAAAAAAGGAATGAAAAGAAAAAGTACATAGAAACCGAAACAAAATTTGCACGCACTCTGAAAATTGGAAAAAGGAAATGCGAAAAGCTGAACGAGGTAAACAGTGGATTTTGTATTTTCGGTTTTCTGCAAAAACAGTTTTTCCCCCCATTAATTATAGGCATTGGATCAGAGAGTTCGATCAGAGAGATCGCAAAACAAAGCTAAACAACGCACTTTTGCACTTTTCCCATCCCGAAGGTTACGTCCATAGTTTTTAAGCCAATGAGCCAACAATGGAACACAAATCGAATCGAATCGAAATGAAATTGAGCGAAAATTGATCGGGTTTTCGTTTCCGAAAAGAAAAAAGGCAACAGATTCATTAAATGCAATTTTATCAGACAAGTCAATGATTTTTCGAGGCATTTTCCACTCTCCAATTGATTATGTTTTATTGCACAACACATTCGAGTAGAAGGAAAGGAAGAACAGAACTAAGCTAATCCCTAAAACGTAATCGAACAAAAATGGTAAATAAACTAAGAATGTTTTTAGCGGAACGTGTGTCTCTCTAGTTGTATTCTATTCTAGTAGCTAAGCGGCAGGGCATATTCCTTGACCCTCCTCTCCCATAAATAGAGTTCTTGGAGAGCCCTGAGGAACGAAAGGTAAAATGAACGGAGTAGAACGGCATACGAATAAGAAACTTAAATAATTTTAATGCATTGAATTTGTCGTAAATATATTTAATGTACCTTTGTTAAAAACAAGAAAAAAAAATAAATAAAAAGTAAATCTATTAACACAAATTACGAATAGAAAACAAACTCTCGGAGGCAGATATATAGAGTTTAGTAGATGAAGCATGCAAATTTTTATGTTTACCTCGTAAGCATTTTTGTATAGTTAAAAAGAAGGCCCCGAAAAAAAGATATAAAAAGAATGACAATTTTGTAAATATTTGTAGTTGATTTCTAAGTAGCGAAAGGTGAGCAAAAATACCAATATTTGAAAGGAAATAAGCAAAGGGACAAAATATTGAATGTTTATGATTTATAAAAACAAAACACACACACACAAAATGGAATGGCAACTAAATACAATTTGAATATAAGTTCAACCTGTACAATAATTTAATATTAAATAAAAAATTGAAAATTAAAGAAAAAAATCATTGTTTATTCTCTATAAAATATGAGGGTAAGACATCAAATATATCTTTATTTATTCTCTGTCATATAATTAGACTTTGCTCCAGTTTGAGGCTTTGATTAATTGAATGACTGTCCCCGGGCCATAAATAATAATAATTTTGATTATTCGAAATTTTTGTTGGCATGCTTTGAAATTAACCCATGCCCGATTCCGAGCAATTGAAATAATTCAAGAGGATGACAAGTTGTTGGAGCAAAATAATGGAGGAAAATGGTTGGGAGCTCCCACAGCAAAAGGCATTAATTATGTAAATGACACAACTCTTTTTTTTTATTCGGCCAAACAATATATATATATATATCTTGGATGTTAAGAAACTTTTTCCCCAATTCCTCAGGCGATTGCGTCATCTTGAGCCCGGCAATTCATCTCTATTCATCTTGGCCGCAAATAGAGTTGGCTTTAAGCTTTGGGCCCTGACTTTTGGTATCTGCAGGCGAGCATCTTCACCGCCTCACGATTCATCTCCGCTGTGCAGCTGGGCAATTGCAAAGGTTCCCCTTAGATGACCAACTCGGAGGCAGCTGTGTGGACCTTCGACAATCCATAAAACCCATTTGCAGTGAGTTGTAATTAAATGTGACATAATGCGGAACCGCGGAACCTTAAAGGCAAACTCCGATCATCGTGATGCATTCGCATCCATATTTATTCTGCTCGTGAGGCTTGCATTATATTTCCATTCGATGATGATGACGACTAAGGCCAAAATCCATATAAATAAGACTGTATACACGCGTGGAATTCTCTATAAATAGCCTGTCAACGTCGTTGGGGGGAAAATCACAGAGAGAGAGACCGACAGACCAACTTGGCCGGCTGCCATAAAATGCGATTACTCATCCAATTGCTCAGGTAAACCCTTTTTTATCAGAGCAATTCTTAATTATGGTTTTGCATATTGAGGCAGGTTTCTCAACAAAGTGTCAATGAATGACATTTGCATAAAGTAATTAGCATGCAAGCTACACTCGGAGGCATCATGAGAATGCTTGGAAGTGAGTTTGCAATTAAAATGGGGAAACTAGGTTTAGTGACGGTAAATCATTATGACTACCAGCTTTTTTTTAATTAAATATTTAATAAAGTCTCAGAAGGTAACAGAATTTATGAGCAAACAAAGTTCAAGTAGTTCTTTACGAACTTCACACTTTTTATTTCACTTAATTAGCATTCAATTCGGACTAGAATTACTTCAGTAAAGGCCAAGCTCATGAAGGCAATGATACAGGTAATATTTTTCAGGTAATCAATCCACAAACAATTTGCCATATTAATTAGCATAAAATGTATACCACAAGTGCACAGAAAATAATTTACAAGTATGTTTTAGATAGAAATAATAAGAGAAAAGTTGTAGATATATGATATTTCTTTATAAACGTTTGTGTATGGTATTTTAATCATTGTTTTGTATATTAATCAAGTATTTAATTTATCCTCTTCAAGCTTTAGTTAATCTCCTGCCAAATTATTATTCTTTCTCTCCCAAATTCTTCCCATTAAAATTCCTCTTTAATCACAGACTAAAATTTAGCTCAAGACTAGTAGTTCTCTATCTTTCCATGGCCAATTAATAATTCCCAGCTGGTGTTCATCCCACTCTTAACAAGACATTGCAAATTCATTTGGCATGCCACGCGTTCGTCACCCAAAATGATTGACAGCCTCAAAGAAGCTAAACAAAAAAAGCCAGGGGATTTTTTACCCGTCTCCCCAAACAGACATGTAAACAAAGCAGAGAGACGATCCCTAAAATTGAGATACAAACAACAAAAAAACACCACACAATCTTGAAGAATTCAATGCTTGGCATTCTCCAATTCTCTCAAAAGCTTTCAAGAAAAGCTTCTCAGAGAGGGGATCTTCCCATCGAGTCTGGGGAAATATATACATTCAGTAACATAACGAATCTTGACCGGAACGGACGCAATCTGTAGTGATCAGATATATATATGTATTATTGCCTGCACAAAAGGCCCGAAACCTAAGACAAAATTAGTGAATGATTGACGTTTTGGCGTGTAAACAAAAGTGACAAAAATGATGAGCCACCAATTAGTGGCTTTGGCCATCGGTATCTTGGCCATCACGATCTGTGGTTTTGCCACTGGTTCTTTGGTGGAAACACCTGGCGTAACCCAGGCCCCGCCTCCACTGCCGCCCCAAGTGAACCCAGCGCGGTCGCGCGTGCGCAACAACTTCCGAGTGCGTTTAATACAGTGTTAATACAACAGCAACAGACGATCGAAAGATTAAACTTGAAATGTAAATATTAAGAGAGTTCTTTAAATACAAAAGGAATATCGATATGATTTAATAGAGAGTGCATATAATTAAAATAAATAAAATACAACAATAAAATCCACAAGAATAACAAATTAAGGTGTTTCTGAATAAATAAAATGATGTTAGAAATCATATTATTGTACCCTTGCAAGGGTATTATAGTTGTTTTCAGAAGCTTATAATTTCCGAAGGAATCATTTCTGACCCTATATATCATATATATTCTTGATCAGAATCAACAGGAGAATCGATCTGGGCATGTCTGAGAGAAAACTAAATTTTTGAAATTTTTTTCAAAATTTGAAAAAAGGATAAGGGGTTACATCATTAAAATTGTCAAAAATTGGACAAAAAATTAATCTTTTAAAATTTAAAATTTGATATGCAGGTTTTTTAACCTGATAAAAACTAGGACAGGACAGCTTCCCGAATTAAAATTAATGAATTTTTGGTTTAGTTATGAGAATTTTAAACTTTCAATTGTCAACAAAATTTTCCTATAAAAGTATCAATAAATATTGGTTAAAAGAATATTTTATGCTTAATTATGATCGATTTTCGATTCTTGAAATGACTTGAAATGTATACAAAAATTTACAATATAAGAAAACGAGTCAATAATATTACCTCTGTCCGTTTTTTTTATCTGAAAAGAAATAATATATGATTAATATCACTTATTCGTGCTATTAAGCTAAATAATAAATCAAAATAATTGCTTTTACTACATCTAATATATTTTTAAAACATATAAATCAAGCTTTTTTGAGCCTTCTCGGAATTCATTATAAAAAATATATTTTCAATTCAACAGAAACTATAAAACACCAAGAATAAACAAATGATTAATAACTAAAGAGAATGCTTATAAAAATTGCAGGCCAAGAGCTTTGCCTAAGATAAATATATTACAAAAAGTGTTGTGTTTGAAAAAAGAGCGGAAAATAAAAGCAAGATAAATATATTATTCATTGCTTTTTTGTTTGCGAGATATTTAACATAACTCGATGTGATTTTAATGTGAATTTTAAAACAGCAAGCTCTCTTAGCTTTGTTTACTCTTTCGATCGTTTACTGTAATGTGACTTTTGGCCAACAGCAGCCGCAGCAGGTTTCGTTTTGGCCAGAAACAAGTTCAATGCGCTGGCCTCGTGTTTGCTTAATGATTTGTGTATTTCCCTTTCTGTGTCCCTCTGTCTCAGACCCCTGGAAGTTATCCAGTCCCTTCAAATCCTGCTCGATGTGATTACAAGGAGCTGATGACCAATCTTCATGATCGCGTTGGCATCTTGGTGACCTTGGACGAGGACCAGCGCCACCGACTGGAAGTCATCGATAAGAAGTGGGTATAGCTCATCTTTATGGGAAGGGAACTGGTTTGGTTACGCATAGGTACATCATCATCATCAGCATTATCATCATGATGAAATAGTATCTATACAAACCGGTAGAAAAAGAAATATGTTTAAAAACACACAAACGACATGAGGCAATAATATCTATTGGAATTTGGCACTTTTCGATGACTCTTTGAATTGACAGAACAAAGCAAAAAAATTATCCATGAAGCTGTCTGCTTTTTCGGTCAAATTTTATTTTTAAAATTCCACTGAAATTTTCTGCCAATTTTTCGCACGCCTGCTGAGAGTGTTTATCACTTCGGTTCGGTTTTTAATGTTTAAACAGCTCTCTTGCCGTGCAGCCTGTTTGGTTAATATATTTTCGACTTTGTTGGCTTTAATTAGCTGTTCTTATTTACGATCGAAAAAGGGGGAATAGAAGCCAGCAAATGCAAAATACAAAATACGAAACAAAAGCATCTTTTAAATAGTTGATAAACGAGCGGAACTTTAAAGAAACGGAGAATAATGTAAATGAAACAAGCTACTAATCAGGGAGGTCGCTGGAAATGGGTCTCGATGATAGCAAACAAAGCTCTAGTTAGTTTTACTTATTTCTGAAATTATTTTATTATATTATATATTCCAGATTGGATCAACTGGTGGACAGCAGCGAGGCTCGTATGGAGTCAATGAAGGTCCAACAGCTGAATTTCCAGCAACGCTTGGATAGCTTCGAGCACATTCAACGCCTCTCGAGGAACACTTTGGATGAACTAAAAGGTGAAACCGATCAGGTTTTTGGTCCACGAGCTGTTAGGGAATTGAAGCACAGACTAAGAAATCGCAGAAAGATGAATGGTAACCCCAAGAACTAGATGTTGTGCCATTAATATAGATGTTGTGATATATATTTACTACAGAAACTATAAAGAAGTTTATAGAAAGAAGCTCTCTTCAGGAACCTGAAATTTCTATATCTTTGCATCGAAAATCAGTCAAAGGTCATAAGAATATATATGATTTATGGGGTCGGAAATGACTTCTTCACTGCATTTCATGCTTCAGACTAAAATTATGAAACCCTAAAAGGGTATAAATATAAAGACTTGATCTTCTTGGCTCTTATTCAAATAATGAATTATATTTACCATAGTGATTCTAGAATTTTGGTATACCTTTTATGAGATGTTTAAATTTAATTTAAAGTTTCTTATTCATGTTTAATGTAATTTTTAACTTATTAAACTCCTTTCCAACCCCAAAACAGACATATCTCGCACTGTCAGAGCCATTCCCCAGGATCAGTCTGCAGCTGGCACAGGCTCCTCTGATGGTCAGGACTTCAATGCCTCCAACTTGAGTGTCTCGGATCGTTTGGATGCCTTGGCCACCCTGCTGACCTCCACGGCACTCAATGTCCGTGCCGTGCAATATGATGTGGCGAAGCTCGCTCAGTCCATCAAGTAAGCAAGTAACATTTTAATTACTAATTAACATAATTAATCATTATAATTCGTATTCCTTTAGTCGCCAACGTCGTGTGTCCCATCGCAAGGGTTTGGGCCAAGGACCAGGTCAAGGTCAGCAGCCGCCCATCTTCTACGGTCCATCGGGACCGGGTGGTTACCAGCCCTCGTCCTTCACCCGACCTCCCAGCAGCTGCCAGCAGTCTTTCCTCGCCGTCGAAGGCATCCTCAAGGTGCAACTCACACCCGAATCGGAGTCCTTTTACGTGGCCTGCGATGAGGATTGGACAGTGATCCTAAATCGAAGCACCGATGAGCTAAACTTTGAACGCGGTTGGTTGGACTACAAGGATGGCTTTGGCAATCTGGCTGGTGATTTCTTCATTGGCCTGAACAAACTCCATGCTTTGACCTCATCTGCCATTCATGAATTGCGCATAGTTCTCGAGGATTTTGCGGGCAACGTGGCGTATGCGGGATATTCCACTTTTGCCATTGGAAGTGAAAAGGAATTGTATCCTCTAAATTTGCTTGGTAGATTCCAAAACGATCTTACCCCATCGGCGGGGGATTCCCTGTCATATCATGCGGGTGCCAAGTTCAGTACCGTAGATGCTGATAATGATAATTGCATTGATTGCAGCTGCGCCCAGAAGCACAAGGGTGCAGGGTGGTACAATAATTGTGGCACCAACAATTTATTGGGTCAATATTTCCAGCAGAGCTATGTCCAAGCTGGAGAGACGGGCATCTTTTGGGATACGTTCCAGGGCAAGGATTATTCGTTGAAGAGAGTTAGGATGATGATACGACCAGTTAACGAGGAAGAGGCCAGGCGATAGGATATATAATGATATAGAAGAGTGTCCTGAGGTCTCTCTTAAAACGAAGGAAGAGATAAGGAATTAATAGAGCTTTGAAATCACTTTAAAATCCCTTCAAGATTTCTCAGGCACTCTCTAAACAATATCATTATCCAACTGCCATCTCCGAATTCAGGGATAACCCAGCATCGAAACGAAATTCAAAATCGTATCAAAATCAAATCGCGAATGAGTATAAACATTGCTTGCATTTTAACCCTAGCTTTAGTCTCCTCGACTCCCCTCTGTCTGTGCGTGTATATGTGTGTAATATTTATGGAAAATTACTTAATATCTAGATAATAAAGTAATGTTATGTGAACTCTCCACCAAGTGCGTCATCATTCTCGTGGGGATCGCATTTCGCTAATCAATCGATTAGTTGAAATGTAGCATGCAGCATGCCATATTTCGAGGTACTATATAAATAAGACGACTTCAGAACGAGATTTCATCTTGATTCAATAGAGTAACGTGCTTTGACATAGACATGGCCAAGAGTAGCTTTTGCCTGGTTCCTATAATTTGTCAGTTTCTGGGCCTGCAAGCCGCTTTACTAGACACCTTGGTGGATCAGAGTAGTATATACTATCTAAAGGCATCCGCAACCGAGGAACTGCTGCTGTCCAAAGTGGATCAAGTGGAGAGATTGGACTCTGTCAAGTTGATTGTTCATGGATATTTGGGATCAAGGACTCATGGCTCCATAATGCCACTGAGAAATGGTGAGAAAAGAAGGATTTATAAGAACAAAAGCAAAATAATCGAAGGTTATATAGATATATTAATAAATAAACCTTCGTTTTAAAGCCTACACCGCCCAGGGTTATGACAATGTCCTGGTGGCCGACTGGGGACCTGTGGCCAATTTGGATTATCCCACCTCCCGTTTGGCAGTCAAAAAAGTAGGTCACATTTTGGCCAAAATCCTTGAAGAGTTCCTGCAACGCCATGGCATCGCCACAGAGGGAGTTCATGTCATAGGTCACAGCTTAGGAGCACATATTGCGGGACGCATTGGTCGTTATTTTAATGGAACTCTTGGCAGAGTCACAGGATTGGATCCCGCTCTGCCCCTCTTCTCGAGTCGAGCCGATGACAGTCTGCATTCGAATGCCGCTCAATTTGTGGATGTCATACACACGGATTATCCCTTATTTGGAGATCTGAGACCCCGAGGTTCGGTGGATTTTTATCCCAATTTTGGACAGGCTCCGCAGCCGGGATGCGAGGATGTGGATCTGATTGCTGCCAGTAAGCTCCTTCACGAGGCTTGTAAGCTTGTCTATCTCTGAGATTTTTTAACAATTATTTATTATTTCCTCCAATTCCCCAGACAGTTGCAGTCACAATCGCGCTGTCTTGTTTTATGCCGAATCTATAGGCATGCCCCAGAATTTTCCAGCTATTTCGTGCAGCTTTCAAGCCATTAAAAGTCGGCGTATTGAGAGTTGTTTAAAAGAAAAATTAGCTACTAATAATACAGAAACTATACCGGAAGATCGGGTAATATATATGGGCGAGCATGTGGATCGCAGGTGTGTATAAATAAATTAATTAAACACCTAAAGTTTTGATTTTAATTCGAAATTTCTCATCAGCGCCACCTTGTATTTTTATTTGGCAACTAATGCAGCGCCGCCTTACGGCCAAGGCAGGAACTCAAAGGTTTTAAGTTGAATTTATTGAAAACAATTTGAATTTAAGTTTAATTATACCTTAAATTTTATTAAAAACATAATTTTGCTTAAATATTTATTTCGTTTTTAATAAAATAATTATTTTTAATTCTTAACACTGAAATACTTTCAGTCACAGATGGCGCTGGCAAGACCTCTAGGTCTGAAAACTTGAACATTTCTTTGCTAGACCTGGCAGCATTTTCTACATATTCACCACAGAGGTGAATTTTTAAAGTTCAAATAAAATTCAAGCGCAAAAATTCAAATTTTCAAGAGAATTTTCGTATATTAAAAACAAAAATTAAAATACATTTAATCTTATTATTAATAACACTTTAAAGATAGAAATGCAAACCTACAACCATTTGTTCTATTTATTATCCCCTTAATTCCTGACCATTTTCTTGCCACTTCTAATTATGTTTTCCCCCATTTTCTATTGCCATTAAATTCCTACGCCAATCAGCAAATGATTTTCAATTTGCAGCAATCAAATATTTCCGCAATCCTGTTCGCTTCATAAATCACAAGCCTTTTATGAATGGAAAGAACGATCGAAGTAACAAACAAACAAACAAGCAAACAGATGGCAAATAATGCCTGATTCCGAACCTGAATCCACACAAACGACCGAACCGACTCGCGGATTATTTATGGGCCAATAACTTTACAACTAAACGCTCATCTACATTTAATGGCGATAATTTTTGACGCAATTTGGAAAACAGACATGCCAAGCCGGCGGTCTTGGCCCGAAGACATCTCCCAGAGGAAGTTGGCCTACAAAACGAGACGAGGCAGCAGGCATCAGGCAGCAGCCAGCAACCGCAGAAGATAACGCCAAAAACACTTGACACCTTCCTTGGCTTCTTCATGGCTAAAACTGTGCTGGTGCTCGATGGTTCTGGTAACTCGTTTTGTTTCCATTTCATGGCTATGGCACTGAGGAAAAGTCCAAGACTTGTGATATTTTAAGAAATACTCTTAAGACTCTTAAAGTGAAGGAAATTCTATCTCAAAAACCCTATTTTTATATAAAATCTATTTTATTTAAAGTGCTTTCCAACTTCTTTTTAGTTTGTATTTGCTAATTGTCTTTTATTGTATTTTTCAGTCACCTTTTAATATTTCTTTCAGTGCTAAGAATGCGTGAAGAGACCAAACGAAATGACCAATAAAAAGAGGACCAACCATCGTGGCCAACAAAGGCGGTGATCGTAAATTCTGAATGTGTAAAAGAGAGTCGCCACTAAAAGGAGCAGGAATGCTGTAAATTTGGGGATTTTGAGATGGCAACAGCTGCTTGTCTCGAAAGAAAAACCACCGAAATGGTGGGTGGTTTCAGCTTCAGGTGGTTTTAAAGGGTTTCAGGTGTTTCAAGGGGTTACCATCCGAAAACAGAGATCATCTAAAATAATGATTCCACAAATTGTACAAAAATCGTATGAAAATCATATAAAAATCGAACACAAATCGATTTCAGGCTTCATTAGCTGCCACCCTGCGTACAGGAAACTCCCGGACTTTGGCTTTTCCTTTGTCTTTCGACCAGCTCTGTTTTCCACGGGTGAAAATCCAGCAAGTTAGCCGCTCTATTGATGCTCGGTCAACCATTTCTGAATGTTTGCTGAATGTTTTTTTCCCTTTTGTTTACCGAAAGCCGCGCGCCAAAGTCTGCTCTTCGGCTATGCGTTCTCAATATTTTCTCGTTTCCACTTCCACTTCTGTTTTCCATTTTCCATCATTTCCCTTTGACGCGATTTCCCCATTTCCATGCGTTCTTTTTTATATAGTTGTTGTTGTCGTTGTTGTATCAGCAACCACCTCTGTAGAATTTGTGTCATCCGTTTGGCTTTTCCTGTGCGCGCTTCTCTACTACATATTTTCCCCCCATGGCTTTAATTTCTGTTTGCTGGGAAAGTAAAACAAAGCGAGAGTTGTTGACTCTTGATTCTGACTGTCCGGGAGGTTAAGGGTTTTCCCGAGGAGAACGTGCCAATGACCAATGTTCTGCTCTAATTCAAATTTGAAGTTGAAGTTGAAGTTTACTTTGAGAATGTGCTGGGAAGTTGATAGGAATCGCTTTTAAGGTGGGGGGAGACTTGGGAGGTTTTTTTCTGGGAATTTTGTTTAGACTTATTTGAGAAATGCCAAAGAAAATATGACAGCCTTCCTTATATTTTATTAAATTGTGTATAACTATTTAGAACAAAGGGAATATTCTGTAAACAAATATTCCCTGGCTTGTTTTCTATGTAAAACTGAAACAATCTCAATCGATTATAGCTAGGCTTCAAATATTCGCATTCTTTGGATTGATATCGATATATCTTTTAATATGACAATTTTTTCAAAAAATCAATGTTTAAAAAAATCATAACTCTGCTAAAAATGCCTTAATTTTAATTTGGAAAGTTTTTATTAGGTTTATAAATCTGCATACTAAATTTAATGTTTTAAAAAATTGAATTTTGTTTCCAATTTTTGACAATTTCAACGATGTAACCCCTTATAAAATTTTGAAAAAATTTCGAAAGTTTATTTTTTGACCACACATAGCTAGATCGGTTCAGCTTAAGATGCTGATAAAGAATATATATGGTTTTCCTTCACAAATTACAAGCTTCTGACCCTGCAAATATAGTATAAATAACTTATATAGGAACTTGAAATTTGGGGTTTTACTAAAATGTATATAAAGTTATTCACCCCCGACAAAAATCGATTAATCCCTTGACTAACTTCCTTATCCTGTTTTCTCCTTTCTGCTCTTACTTTTCAGGCCCCCCTGCTGTCTTTGTATTTTAACTTATATAATTCCTCACATGTTTTGACACATTTCTTAATGGCACCTCGCACACACACACACACACACACAGAGGAACACACCTGAGAGCCATACACAGGTAACAAACGAACAAAAAATACAAAAAGGAGTAAAAGAGAGCCAAAGGCAGAGGACAAAATGAACAAATGCAAACACAAAGCCGGGGAGACAAGAAGAGAAATGATATTGTAATTGGCAATCGTTGTTGTGCATAAATCACATGCATAAATATTCAACCTGAAGGCAAGGAGTTCTCCTCCTGCTCCTCCCTTACCAACAAAGTCGTTAGTTCAAGTCAAATGTTGTTGTTTCCAATTGGAAAATTTTTCATTAACTAATTGAACATTTTATGGCAGACAGCGGGCAGTAAAGGACTTGCAAGGAGTCACAAACAGACATGGGGGAACCACAATGGCGCCAATATTGAATGGCAAACAACCCCCAATGTTTCCTTGTATGGCCACCATTTTCCACCCGATTTTGACCCCATTTTTCCCCCACTTTTCCACTTTTCCCCCCCACCTTTTTTCACCTTTCTGCCGCATAAAAAACAGGCCATGGCAAGACAATGAACGGACAATGTTAGACAGCCAGGACACGAAGGGACGATGGCCCAAATGGGCAAACAAACTGGCACACACACACAGAGAGAGGGACATCCTGACACTCTGTGAGTGTGTGTATTATGTATCTGTGTGTGTGTGTGGCTACAATAATTTACGAGCGCACGCTTCACTTCGAACTTCGCTTCCGTTTTGCAGGATATTCCCAGTGACTTTTAGGGTATATTTGTATAGTTACTTAATTGGTAACAGTTAAGGGTATATAATAATTGTAAAAAATACTAAATTTCAATCTGAAATACCATTAAAAAATATTGTTCTTAAATACTACTAATAATTAATATTTTCAAAGAAGGTTGTAGCTTATTTCTTGTAATTTCATTACTGCTTTAAACTTTTTCTTTATTAAATATAAGTCTTTTTGTATAGAAACCCAATTATTACTAGTTTTTGTTATTCACAATTTCAATTTAATAATATAAATAAATAAATAAATCTAAGGCAAGTTTACTGATAGTTCTTCAAGGTTTTTTTTACAGATACACCTACACAAATTAACTCATAGTTCCCTGAAACTTACGTATTTACTTTTTATGAATATTCAAATACCGATTTATGATTATTTTCATATTTATTTCGTCTGCTCGATTATATTTATTATTTATTGAACTGCCATTCGAATTTGAATATATTTTTTTATATGCTTTTTATGGTTTATAACTATTGTTTTGACACCTTGTTTTGACACAAATTACCCATTACATTTGCGTAAGTAATATTTTATGAAAAACTTTCCATACACACAAACGTCACAAGAAGGTATTCCCTGGGTTCATCATTTTATGACAGAGGAAAGGTTTGGGGTTTTAATATACAAATAATTCTGGAAATTTGCATAACTGTCTGGGCCCCTTCCCCTTCCGCGTTTCCTCCCTTTCTATTATCCTGGCGGATATTAAACATTAGCGCGTGCTGGACACATCCTTGTCCATTCTGCAACCCCCGACTCTTGCCACCAAAAATAATTAAGGTGAAAATTGCTGTCGACACGCAAACCCCAAAGGCAGAGAGTAAACGTGAAGAGAAAAAACCCCTAAAAAACCGAAAAACCGAAGTCGAAACCGAAAATATATATAATTTTTTTGTGTCGGCCCTGAGAAGTGGTCAGAGATAAACCGGCGACTGGCGGAGATTGGAGATGACTAATGAAACCTATTAGCCCTGTGACAGATGAGTCTCTGGGAGCTGTGACCGCGATGATGGATAAGCTCATTAAAGTCACCGGATCGGTGGATTGGTGGATTGGAGGGATCATTACCAGGGATCATTCGGTAGCGGCTCCTTCTATGCTGACCCCCGGGATTAATTGAATTCCCCTCCCGGTGGTCGTCCCTTTCAAAGTGCCGATTGATAAGCTCTACTCTTTGGCTTTGACATTTTTCCTTATCGCCCTCTCCAGTCGAAGCGAATCAATCAAGTCTGTCAGTGGTCAGTGGAATTTCCATCTCACCATATTTCATATTCAAGGAATTTAAACATATATATATAATATATAATAAAATATCAAGAGTAAACTGCTGCTTCATCTCCTTACTCAATCCATACTCT